GGGGGGGGGGGGCAGATGGGTCTTCGAGAGAGAGGATCGATATGGTTGGGTCACCAAAGAAGTACCACTGCGGTTGAAAACCGGGTGCTTTTTACTATTGTCGCTATTTTGGGCTCCCAAGGACGCTCAATACAACATGTTCCCATTCGTATTCATTATACCGCACATTCTAGCAGGGTGCCTGTTCTACCTCTCCCACCAAAAATCAAATCCCGGATGGCACAATTTGTTCATGCCCCATCCGAAGGTCAACATTGGCAACATCCACGCCGTCGCAGGCTCCATGCCAAGAACGGGAGGAAGCCCAAAGGAAGATGGAACACATTCCGTCACAACAACGGCGGTAAACAAACTGAACTTCTCGTGCTTCCCGAAGGGATACAACAACCGCTCGTTGCTCGGTTGTTCGTTACTCGCATCAACTGAGGCCAGCAAGGCCATCGCACTGCGATTTGTATACATCGTGGAATCCTGCTCAAGCGAGGTGCGGGTGAGTGGTTTGCCGTGCAAAGAACATGACAAACACGCTACTGCTGCACTTTAATGGGGTTCTTGCTAATTCTTTATCCAAAAGAGACTGTGCCACACTTCCGAGTGCTAAAAATGGCCCCGAAATCAAACAGCCTCACCTTCATCTTGTGGAGACTGAGGGCCGCTGGGTCGAGGCGGCAACATCCCAGGGCGTGGCGCCCCGCCCCCCCCACTATCACCACCGGGCCTCATCATCGGCATTCCCCGAGGGAACATGCCTCTACCCCCACCCCTGCCGGTGGGAGAGAAGTTACCGGGAGGTGGCCCCCGGCCTCCCATGTCGCCACCTCGCCCCGCCCTCATGTTACCGCTCCCTCGCCCGCCCATGCTACCGGGCCCCGAACCCATGCCGCCGGGTGGTGGCGGAGGCCCTCGTCCTCCGCACATCATATGGGGTCGAGCCCCGAACGGCGGCATGCCTCGCCCCGCTTCGACTCCTCCCGGCGGCGGTCCTCTCCCAGGGCCCCCCCCATCCCCGCTTGGCATGTTGTTGTTCGACCTCATCGGAGGGGGCCTGGGACGGCCAGGAGGGACGAGGGGTGGGGGGTGCTGCTGCAGATCCCCTTGCATTGACATGTTGTTCGCCGAATCGTGTCCTCCTGAAACGACGGGCAGGATTAATTAAAACAAGAGTTGGGTGGCGGGGAAGCGTGTGGGTTTTGAGACGCGTTTTGAAGGGAACAGGATGCCTGCTATGTGGTCGTTACCGTTCACATGCCCGCCATATTGAACACATCGAATTTTGAGTAGGACAGGCCGTCGATGGTCTACATGGCAGAATGTGATGTTCCGTAGACTGGGGAACACTGGGCTACCTTTGGGGACGTCGAGCCACATACACAAGGCCAACTCTTATTGCTGGTTTGCATCTTGTCTGGAAACGGCAGAATCAGGTGGACAATCCCAGGCCAACAAGAGAGCAGCTGCTGTTTTTGAGATCAACCCTTCGGAACAAGGAAAAACTGGATTGACTCGACAGACCACCAACAGCGGCTACGCTTTATGATTGGGAGGGACACACACACACCTACTGTACCTGCGCTGTGTTGATCGAGGAGCACCATATCATCAGCAAACAACAAGCACATAGGCAGCGGCCGGTTGTGCTTGTAAATGAGATCATGCAGCAGCAGCAGCGATACCATGATGTGTACTAGTGTGCCCTTATTTTCCGTTAGAAAGGGTGTGTGTCCTCTGTGCCTCTTCCTACCAAATGCTCTCCATACAACCCTGGCTCGTTGACATGTCGATTGTGAATGGTGTATTCAAGATCACTACTGCTGTAGAGAGTCGACACACACGTCCAACATCTGATATGTATCATCATATAAATATGGCGACACCAATCCCAGCCGAAAATTCCCGCTGAGCCGACATGTCGAGTCGGGAGTACATATCTCGGATTTCAAATCCCAGTTTTTTCGGCAAATAAGAGCACCATAAAAGGGGTGGTATGTCCTGTCGTCCTCACTTCAAACCCAAATCTCAGGAACTGCAGACCTTCCATAAGATTTGGTCTTAGCACGCGAAGTGTCACGTGGTCCAAGCATAACAGAACTACCCGTCCGAGATACCTCTCAAAAAGGAGTTGTGTCTACCACCAGTACACGTGAGGACTGAAGGACACCTGCTGAGTACAGCCTATGACTCTCGCGTCTGTTTAAGACCTCCCGCCGGGGATTTATTCGGTCAAGATGATGGTACTTCAGCGGTGTACAGAGTATATGCTATTGCACATGCTCTTAGTTGGGCCGTGCACAGATGATTGTCCCTTGGTGTGCAGGCTACGTACTTGCTGCTGCTGCGCTTCGACAAATGGATTGATCCCAAAACCGCAGAGACACCTCAATAATGTTTTTGGCACGACCGGGTGAACGAGCACAACCACCCCAGAACTTGGCCAAACCTCACGTACCCGTCGCTGCCATACCCATATTCCGCTGGACGGCTGGTGCGGCGACTCGGCGACTACCAGGTACTGCTATCGTTAATAAGTCATCATTGCCAAGGACCACCGTGTTAACAGGTAATCCTCTCTTTCTTCACCCGATCTCCGTTTCACCTGCTGCTGGTGCAGATCCACCGGCGGAACCAGCTGCTCCCGGCAGCGCTTTCCTGGGAGGAGGAGGAGGCGGAACGCCACCGCCGGCATTGTTGCCACCGACCGGCCCCTCACCACCGCCTGCTGCTGGGTGCGACGGCATCCTCGGCGGAGGCGGCGGTGGCGGTGGCTCCTGCTGGGCAGCCGATGATCCTGATGGCGGTGACACTGGCCGCCTTAGCGGCGGTGGTGGTGGAGCGCCAGCAAACCCGGTTTCGGGGCCCTCCTCGTCGTTCATGGGAGGCGGCGTGGACAGGAGAGCAGGGCCGCCTCGAGGGGATGCACCGGGGCCGGGAGGAGACGGCATCGACGAGGTTCCCGGGGGCGGCGGCGTGGGAAGCAGCGGGCCTCCTCTTCTTGCTGCTGAACCGGAGTCTTCGGCGCCGGGGCCGCGGGGTGGGGGAGGAGGCGGAGGCCCACCGTCTACATTGCCTGACATGCTCTGACCACAGCTTCCTCCTTGTCGTGCTTGCTCCTTTCCCTGCTGCCACTGCTGTACTGCACAGCAACAAGCGCACCAGCGAGCAAGCGCGAGTGCGATCGCATCTGCAAGCAAAGCCTTGGTGACCGGTTGAACGCGCAGTGGACGGGGGGGACTTTTATCATTTATTGTGCCCCCGTTTTGTTTGTTTTGTTGTTTTGTTGTTTTTCTCCCATCATTGGACTCTGTCGTCTGCCCCTCTGGCCCCTATCCTCCACTTCTACTAGCTAGACGACCCAACCGGGGTCACATAGGAGGGGGGGGTTGGACTCCCTCCTGCAGTTCATGCCTGAGGTTTTTTTATCGCGAGAAGGGTGCAGCAATCCCTTCCCTCGCGACTTACGAAGTCGATTATGGTTTACTAACAAACGAGCTATGCAGCGCGTCGCTTTCATCCTAGACCAGGATTTATTTAGTGAGAAAAAAACTCTCTCTGCCGGGACTCGAACCCATGTCCTGGCCTATTATTCATTCTTCATTGGATTCTGTCGTCTGTCGTCTGCCCTCCTGGCCCCTATCCTCCACTTCTACCAGCTAGACGACCCAACCGGGGTCACATAGGAGGGAGGGGTCGGACCTCGTCCTGGNTTAGTGAGAAAAAAACTCTCTCTGCCGGGACTCGAACCCATGTCCTGGCCTATTATTCATTCTTCATTGGATTCTGTCGTCTGTCGTCTGCCCTCCTGGCCCCTATCCTCCACTTCTACCAGCTAGACGACCCAACCGGGGTCACATAGGAGGGAGGGGTCGGACCTCGTCCTGGGGTTCCTGCGTGAGATATTTTTATCGCGAGAAGGGTACAGCAATCCCTTCCCTCCCGACTTATGTACTTGATGTGTGTGTGTGGCGTTGTTGTCGAAACGTGTTTTCGAGCTACACATCTAGACTAGACTTCTTGCGTATCTTCATGCTTCGCGTCTTCTATTTTTCTGGTTTATGAATGAGCGCCGGTGTGCGGGTCGACTCACGCCCGCGCCGTCGAAACACGTGCGATGTGATATCAATCCCACCTACAATACCGCCTGCTGGTGGTGTCCACATCACTCGATGTGGGGTGCAGGTGGGTCCGTCCCCAGTCCCTAGGGCGTTTACTACTACAACAGACAGATCTATTTTAGGTGTGTCCAGGAACAAACAAGTGATGTAGCCTATTAGTCTATGCATAGTACTGAACCTTTCCTCACGGGTAGACGAAGGAGGGTGAGGAAAAAAACAAAAATACTCGGCACATACATGATGAACGATTTATTTCCGCACTTCCACGTGATGGGACAGATGACAAGTCTAAATTTGATTTCATTTCAAGTCTGGGCACTCACTTCAATTGTTAGTAGCCGTACTACATACAGCATGTCGGAAGGTGTGTCGAAAGCTTTTTTTCCCGTTCGAGACGGCATCGTACAATGTATGTTAAGTTCGGGCTCGCCAGGCCTCGACCACTCCCCGATAATAAAAGAGTCCTTCACCCACACAGCAGGAACGATTGGGTCGTGAAGAAACACGCCAACTCGTGGAAGTTGGTCTCCGTTCTCATCGCCGCCACCAGGCACACACAAAAGAGAGGCCAGATAACGAACCACCAGTGTATGCATGTCACACGACCGTGTGGGCGGGCCCACGATGTAAGAAGCGCGACGAAACGAGTACTTTTCACTTTTTTTGCCGACGACGGAGAGTGGCCATTACGCAAAACTGACGACTCACTTGACGGTATCAAGAAGTGTGCAGTCAGTCGTCGTGCCAAGGTATGAAAGCGTCCATCCCTCAACATTCATTTTCCTTCGTGACACCAAATTTTCGACACGAGCGTATATTACAGTCAACCCCGAGTACTCAGAACACCATGAGCTACAACTATGTAGCCGACACCCCTTTGCAACAAACGGTGAGAGCCATGTCACGTGCGCACGAGGACGGGTTGCCGCCATGACGGGCTTTGGTTCAAGCTTTTGACAAGCTCGACGCCTGTGCGTCGCGGACTTCCGCATCTCGTCTGCTATGATAACGACGGGGCCCAAGGGCCGGACGAAAGACACACCACGCAAGCCGTCACGTCACGGCCCCCTTTCACATCCCACACCCTTCCAACCAGAAGTTGAGTTACGATAAAACCACATCAAAAGGTGGATGATCTTCTTACCTCTCACCAACACCGATCAGCTAATTCTCTTTGCTAAAAGCACTTCATACCCTTTGTTCATAAAAAAAACACTAGGAAATCATTAAAGCCATGAACGACCATCAGCATCAATCGCGGTTCTTCATAAATCGCACCCTGAATAAGAAAGCGGAATGCCTTCCACATGGAAGCGAAGCCGGGAGTGAACAGAGAGCGCAATTCGAGGTGCAGAAAACGTGTAGAGGGAGACAGACAGGACAAAGACACTAATACAGCAGTACAACGACAATCGAAGAAATTGAATGTTTCTCTCACACAAGACCACACATTTTCGCCAGGAGAACGACGCCCGCGTCCAGCGCTCAGATCTAGCCGGCTGTTCGGCAGCTCAGAACGCAACAAAATACAGAGCCCGCCGACACAACAGGAGGGTCAACCGATCCTTCATGACTACAAGGGGAAAAATCCAACCGAGAGGTGTTGGTACAGCACTAACTGCCGCCACTCCAACAGACAACAACGTTCCGCTTCCTCACCACAACAGACAACGATTACGTGTGATGGCAGTCACTAATGGGAGTGGCGTTTATGCTCCACCATCTCCGCCTTCGACACTACAAATCAAGCTCAAAAGAGAGCACGCCCACACAACTCGAACCAACACTATCCCAACCAATTATCACAATTAGGTGGTGAGGGCGTCGGGGGACACCCAGTTGGGGCTCTCGTCAAGCTCCACCCGCATGTTCTTGGCCTCAGGGCTCGAGATCCACTCGTTGATCTTGCCGGTCCCCGACAGGAACTCCCTGAACACGGAGCCCTCTGGCGCGAGGCTGGTGAGCTCCGGCACGTCCTTGGGCAAGCACACGCCGCCGTACGGCGCCCCCACGCGGAGGCCGTACTTGCGGCTGAGGAAGCACTCCGCGGTGGAGGACACCAGGTAGAGAACCTTTTGAGCGTCGATCGTGGGGTCGAGCTCGTTGGCGAGGCCGTAGATGCAGTTGGCGAAGGAGATCTTGAGCCCGTTCGCGTAGCTACAGGAGAGGCAGATTAGGGATGAGACGGGACACGCAGTGTATGACGAGTTAATTGAATCGCAAATATAGAACAAACCACATACACAGTATTTTCGACCCGTCAGACGTCCTAGATATGGAACAGGGGGCATGTTCGGAGAAATGCGAAGTTTCTCTTCTCTATCCGGAGTTAATTACTTGCCGTTCGGTTCGCTAGACAGTTGTAGTCCCCCCTATGCATAACGACACGCACGGCTAGAAGACTTGCGTCGTGATTGGTTATGTTGGCGGCTCGACTAATCTCCGCTTGGATTTGTGAAAAGGACAAGGGCAGAGGCAGTGGTGTTGGGAGGGCGCTCCGAGCGCGGAACGCGGACTGCTGAATGTGTTACGGATTTCGGAAGCTCATTTGGTCACACTATGATTGCTGTGTCATCCGCAAACTCTCCCTGTATTTCAGTGCAGGTGAAGGGAACGCGAAGTGGTATCTTAAGGGTCCCACTTTGCAAACGAGAATGCACGCCAAATCAGAGTCGGGCCGGCGGGCTGCATCGAAAGGATTTCTTGGATGCGCATTTCACACCCGGTGCATCATTGTGAAGGCTATCTGTTGTGTACATGGAACAGTAGGTTGCTGTAGAGACGCACACATACGTGTGACATACGTGGCAGACAAGATAGATTCTCCATTTCGAGATGGCATCAACGCCCGCTACATCCAGTAGTTTCAAGACAAAAGAAATGCAGCCGTTGCCAGCTGCTTTGATTTATTGATTGCCCTCCAGTTGGCGGTTGCGGGACGAAACTACCGTGTGCCTGGTAGCAGAGTAAAATACCAACACACAGCACCAGCACTCATCAGGAGAGAGCATGAGCAGTAGAATCGCAGGGCTGTGCGAAGTGGTTTCAAGAGGCCATGCTTACCAAAGCGGCCGCCCGGCGGCTGCTGCTAGTGTGTGAACGAACGAGCGGCAACCTTCCACACTCGACCCAAACACGGTAACAGACATCGCTTGGTGCGGGTTCGATTTGCGGACCACCACCTCCAACGGCTTTCCTCATTTCATCGTTGTCGTATAGACTGTATTTTAGATTTAGAGGGGCGCATCAGCCTTGGCAGGCGACCATGGGAAGCGAGCGCTTCTTTATTCTGTAATTGGGGAACAACCACGCCTCCGTGGGATTTCATGTTTATCCAGGCCGGCCGTAGCAAGAATTGTTCAATGTGATGTATCTGCAGCCGGCGGCGCTGGATCCACTGACGTCGGTCAACCCGGCTGAAAGGTTTTGTCCAAATTGCCGAATGCGACCCTTCGACGTCACCACAAGAGTTTTTTTTGTCTTCGAATCGGTGGGAGAGAAGAATACATCACATCAGCAACCCCTACATCTCTTGGAGTGGATCGCGAGACACGTCACGAAATCTTGTACCTCTGGGGCGGAGCGGAGGGAGATGGGCAATCTGCCAAGGCACAGCAGCAGGAACATGTGCGGTGCATAGGGGAAGCAAGACAATCATTGGTTGCTACTCACTTGTGCACGAGCTTCATGAACTCGGCCTCCGCGATGTTCAGCACGGTGAGCTTGGACTCGTCCCGGCCGACGAATTCGAGGAACGCGTTGGCCATGCGGGCCTTCACGTCCTCCTCTCCGGGCATGTAGCCGAACACCACCTGCCATGGCGCCCGTGCGTCCTCCTCACAAGAGACGGCGCGGAGGAACTCCGGCTGGAAGGCCACGTGGAACGGCTTGTCGGTCTTCTCCTTGACGGCCGCCATCCACTTCTTAGTCATGCCGGGGGGCACACTACATTTGTGGGGGGGAAGGTGAGGCAGCAGCGCTAGGGGGTTGAGGGTAGGGGTACCGGATCGAGTGCAGGGCGGTTCAGTCTTGCTGCAAGAGCGAGGTCGTGGGCTTTTGACAATTTGAGATTCCATCATATGGTTCATGGCCGCGCCATGACTTATTTCTTGCTGCATAGTGACGTGTTGTTTGTTCTCGGAACAAAGCTTTGGACCCCAAATGGTTCTCATATGTATCCCTTTTGCTGCTGCACCAGGCACACGCCGTGGTTAACTATGATATCACCTGCTCTGGGCAACCAAGAGCACAGTAACGGTTGTGCGCGGGAGTCGAAATGTCGACATCCGCTTTCGAGCATTTCCGCCCGAAAAACCAAGGGCGGTAGATTCATTTCGATTCGGAAACGTTTCCCGTGCAGCAAAAAGAAAGAGTCGTGTCTGCTTCCGACGTGCGCGCGGCATGGACAGCAGTGCTCCCGACTGGATCGTGGACATCGCATTGCTGCAGACGTGCACGTTGCCTTGAAGGGCAGGGCTGGACATTGGATGGCACGAGCTGCCGCTTTTGGTGATGATTATTCAGAACAAAAGACACATCCGGAAGCGTCGACAGCAGGAGGTGGAACAAAGGGAAAAAATACACTTACGTAGGCCAGGATTCCGCCCCACAGGGTCAGCCTCCTGCGCGAAGCGATACGACGCGAAGCAACAGCGACCTCTTGCACTTGCTACCAGCGCGTCAAGCTATCTGTAGTCTTTGCTCCGTGGCAAAAAGCAGGGCGCTAACCTCTATCGACGGCCCTTGGGACAAGCGCCGCCCTTGCAAAAAAAGAACAAATTCCATTGGAGAACTCACGTGGATCGGATCACGAAGATCGGGGTGCTGCCCGTCGACTGCTCGATGAGCTTCACCACAAGGGGCAAGGTCGACCAGACGTACTTCATGTCGAGGCGCTGGGTCTCCTTAATGAGCGGGGTGGGTACCGACAGGAGGACGATCTCGGGGTTAAGGTCGTCGGGGCAGTTGTCCGGGTGGCAGCAGGGGATGCCAGCCTCGTTCATCTTCTCGATGATGGCAGGCACGACATCAAAGCCGCGCACCTCGAAGCCGTGGTGCTTGTACGCCTTCGCGTAAGCCCCGCCGACAACACCGCACCCAACCTGGATGATAGACTCCTTGTTTCCGGACATGGTTGGGAGAGGGTGAGAGAGTTGGTGGGGACTGAGAGAGGGGTGACGAATCAGGGAAGAGAGAAAGTATGTGAAGGTGTGGGGCTGTCCACGGCGGAGTGCCCAGAGGCCAAAATGGGAAAAAGAACATGTGCGGACCATGCTTCGAGATCTACGGAGATCTTTTGCAAAAAGTACCCATGGATAAATGCCTCCGAACTATCCTAGTACTCCTCGCGCCCGCGCTCGCTCGCTCGTTCCGCTGTTCCACTGCTGTCGGTGTCCGACCGGGTCCACTACTTCTGGCTGCTGGTACACTGGTCAACGCTCTGCTGTTGGCGCATGTTGCATATCGAGGAAGGAGAAGGATAGCACGAGAAGGGAGAGAGGGCTAGATTATCGCCTACTGAAGGTCGGTCACCGAATACCGTCTCGAGCACGTATGCTTACCTTTTCCCACAACGCTAAATATAAATATTGAAGATCTAGCCTGCGGCCATGGATGCCATTGCCAGAGATGCAACTCACAAACAACACTTCCGCTAACGCAACAACCGCCGAGCAGTAAGTGGCAGACGCATGGCGTTCGGTGCGATGGTTCTTACGCGTCGGTTGCTGTTGGTGTATCCCCAAATTTGATACAAAAGTTTGATTGTGTTTCGGTAGGACCCGCTCTTCCTATGAAGTATGCCCTGACGTGTGGGCGAGGTAACGACCCAACAGCATAGCGCTTGTAGCTCGCGGGATAGCTGAGAAGAAGCAGGGATGCATACGCCTGCTGTTTGCATACGCGAAGTTTCTACTCCCTGACGTCTACCTCTGGTGTTGCTGACCCAAGTGCACGCGTAGCTGACCCTGTGTCTGCCGCTGCAATCTCGGGGATATGCACGCCGGTGCATGTTGAACTCTGCTCCATGCCCATGTTATTCACACCGATGGTCGAGCGAATGCTAAGTCCAACGACTAAACTTTTCGTAGCCAAAGCCATTGCATCCAAAACTGATTCACGGGTACCCGGCCTCTTGGCTATATACTATATATTGACGCCTATGGTCCCCAACGGCACACGTCAATCGAATACTGAAGCCTGACTGGGGGAGACGATGACTGAAAAAATGGATCCCCGTGAATTCGAGAAGAAGACGCAGGACGAGCTGGACGATATCCTCAACAGGTGCGTCGGGCAAACTAAATTGCCATGCGCATAGCGGCGTTGTGTATGGAACCCAAACATACGGGGCGCGATTCAAGCTCGTGGTGGTGAATAGAAGAGACAGAGGGACACAGAGGCAGAGACAGAGATAAACGGACCGCGAGAGAGAGTGAGAGAGAGGGGGGCGATCCACAACCTCGAGCGGTTGAAGGTGCACGCCTGAGCCAGGCGACATGCCCCGCAGACGGCAAGAAGCCTGACTGGCCCTACCTACCTTCGCTACAGTCTCGCAAGCGTTGGTCGACCGTCCTCGAGGGCAGGGGTTGAGGAATGTACTCTCACTCTCTGTCGGAAAATCTGATATTCAGCACTCACTCAAAGTTATTCAGCACGCAGCGTGCTCCCAAAAATTAGAGTGCCCTTGTAAATCAACGACTGCTGTGGCTGCAACATCCAACGTAACTCGACATAGGATTCGACACACTCTGGACCGGTGGTCAAAGCACGTAAAGAATGTATATTTCATGACCCGAACGCGGAGAGGTGTAACCACACGCGTGCTGGCGGTCGTCCTGTAGTGTTTTCGTCCTCGACCAGCATGTTGTTGCCGACGCAGTTAGTGTGGTGCTACATCACCACTGCTGATGGCTGAGTGGTTGGAATATCCCAACGTCTCCGCGTAGGACGGGCTGCTGGTGACCGTTGCTGTAGGCGATGTAACGACTCCATGAAGAGTTTGTCAGTAGAACAGTATGTGCATACATCAACTTCCACGCCATGAGCGTGATGTCGTGGTCTGGTGGTTGTTCTTTCGTATGGATGGGTTTTGTCATGCGTGTGCAGACGTTTTGGTCATGAACCAAGCATTTATAGAACGCTGACTCTGCGAGTGTTGTCCACGTGTGCTTACGCCAATGTCACAATGTCGCGGTCGGTGTTGCATTCAACCAGCGCGCTGGACGATCTGGAGGACGATGAGGACTTCGCCACGGCGGGGACAGACGACCGGATGCAGGGGGTGGGGGACGCCCAGGGCATCAAGGCCATGGAGGTGCTTGAGTTGCCGACTAGTAGATGTTACGTGCCTTTGATGTAACCTATTTACTGCGCAGTTCTCAAGGCTTGGTATTGCTCGGCAGGAGAAGGATAGGTCCATTAGTCAACCATTGCACCGCAAGAGGGGTGCCGTTGCCGAAGTAGTTAACTAGTTGATTGCTGTGGACGTACGTCATAGATAGCCCGCAAATCAGCGCTGTAGCAATCACTGTCGATTTGTTGTGGACAAAACATGCGCTCAACATTTGTGCAGGAGTATGTCGTCTACTTCATCCGTGTTAACCAGGCTATTCCCAAGCGTTTTCCAGGGGTCTTCATTGTGTCCTACTGCCACACACCATCTGCTGTTGCACCACCGCACGATATGACTCGAGACACGACCTCGAGAGTACAAGTGATCTGAGAGACCGTTGTGAACGAAACCTAGCCTTGACGAATAACCGACCAAACCCCGGTGGCCGGCGACATGCGGTAGGACGACGAAGAAGACCGAGCGGCCAAAAACCTGCAGACTCTCATGGACGACTTTTCCAACCCTGAGATAGCCGAGTCTCTGGAGAAGGCGTTCCGGCACCTGGGGGGGCACGCGGAGGGGAAGGATCTCCTGGGGGAGAGCCTGCGGGCGGCAAAGGCGGCTGAAAAGGAGGATGCGGTGAGACAAAGGGATGCATGCGTCATCCTTGGTGGTGGTAGTGGTGGTGGTTGTCCTTCGCCCTGGGCCGATCATGGGAGCGAAGCAGTCGGTCGTGGATTATTATCCTGGGCTAAACGCTAGAGTGGTGCGGATGTTGGAGGCAGTGGTGGCTGGGTTGATTGTTGGTGATGGTTTGTTGTGTCATGGGTTGTGTGTTGTCGTATCAGAACGCAGGGACCCGTAGGGAGAAAATGAGGCCTCTCGGACGCATACGTACTTCAGACGCATCGATCGATTGCCCTTCACATGATTGCCGAAACCGTCACCATCCAAAGCAACACTGATCTCCCAGCCGCAACTCGGTCGCTCCTCCGTGGGCGCAACGCCCATGCTCCCGTCCCCAAACAGGAGAAAAAAGCGAAGGACGCCGGGAAGACCGATCCATTTGACAGCATACGACAGGGAGCACCGGATAGACCAGACGACAACCGACCACCTGCTGCTGCTAGTGCTGCTGCACCAGCATCAGGAGGGGCAGGGGTAGCGGCGGGCGAGTACGGGTTTGGAGAGGGGGAGGGGAGCACGGATATGGACCGGACGATTTTTCGGACGCTGGAAATGCTGTCGAAGGTGGGTTGGCCGGGGGGGGGGGGG